GGGGGGAGGCGGGCCGGGGGGAGGCGGGGCGGGGCGCCAAGTCTTTACACAGAGCCGAGGCTCAGAGGTCCACCACGACGGCATTACCTCCCCACGGAGGCCAGCGGGTAGCCAACAGCATTGGATGATGGAAGCTTTGGATGATGATGATGGGGTGGAACGAATTTCCGTTGTTTCACACATTCCCAAACACATTCGCAAACACACACATACATACATACACACAAAGCGATGCCGGAGGCCGGTTGGTAAGGGAACAAAGGTATGGCGGAGGTTTACAAGTGATGTTTGAGTTACATGCCATGTGCTTCTACGCCATATCATGTCATATCATATCATACCGCCTCGCGTTAGGTGTTCGTGAGTGCTATAATGTCGTACATTAGCAAATTGTACGACACGGCGCCACACGCGCACGAAGTGACAAAACAGCGGGACGGAATCGGGTCCGGCAACGCCGTGCTTTTCGCCGTACTGCTGACAGCGTCACCGGGAGCGAACTTGGATGAGTACGGAAACGCCGTACGACGCCGTACCTTTGTACTGCCGTACCGTAAAAAGCTTTTTCCTCGTCTCCCTTCCCGTGTCAGCTGCTGTGATTTTCCCGCATTCTTACAGGTCACTGGCGCCTCCTCTTCGCCGTTCTCTGCGGATACGGCCCCGCAGTCATTTGCACCTGCCGGAGCAGTCTCGGCTTCTGCGAGACCACCCGCCACCGGCCGCGGCTCCGGAACCACTGCCATTGCTACTGCTGCTGCTTCCACTGCCTCTGCTACTGCTACTGCTGCTGCTACGTCTGCTTCTGCTGGAGTTGTCTCCGGAACCGCCGCCCCCACACCTATGGATCAAAGGGTACGACGCGTACGACATTGCATTCCGCCTACGGGCGTCTGGCCGCCTTGTCCTTGCCTGTTTTGGATTTGGGCCTTGTCGTGAATCCTGATTAGGCACAGCACGGCGTGTGCCGTTGCATGTGCACGGTATGTATGGCATAGCGTGGTGATTTCTTAAGAGCTGGTTGAAAGCCCCTGGGGCCTGGTCGTACGGTACGGGCCGTACTTTGATCCGCAGGCTCTCAACGCGGCAGTCTATGCGCACTTGCTGCGTCAGGGCCTGGTCACAACTGCCATGACGATGGAGGAGGAGTACGGCGGGCCGCTGCGACCCGTGGGTCAGTACGGCAGCGGGGCCTTGCCGGCGGCGGCGGCGGCGGCGGCGGTGTCCCCTTCCGCTGGGTCGTCGTCCGCTGAGGAGCACGTCTGGGATTTGTGGAAGTGGTACCAGGCGGCGGCAGCGCCTCGCGCCGCCGCCGCCGCCGCCGCCGCCGCCACTGGCGATGCAGCGACCGCGGCTGCGGTGGAATCGGCCGCCGAGCCTCCCGACGGCCTGGCGACTGCGGTGGCGGTTAATCCCGATGACTTGATTCGGCAATTTGACCTAAATCCGCGTTCGGATCCAGATTTGGATTTGGATTTTGGGCGGGACGGCACGACGGCGGCTGGACTGCATGATACAGAGCCACAGCCGGCGACCGCGGACGGTTCTTCTGCGGCTACTGCCGCTGCCAAGCAACGCAACGGTACGACAGAAACCGGCAGCGGCAGCGGGCCCGAAGAAAGTAATGAAGCGCAGCAGCAGCAGCACCAGCTTCGGTCGCAGCTTCGGGCGGTGAAGGAGGAGCTGGCGGTGACGAGGGCACGGGCTCGAGCCGCAGTGGTAGCGGCCTGTGGAGCCGCCGCCGCCGCCGCCGCCGCCGCTGCCGCTGGTGCTACTGCTGGCGGGTCTAAAGCTACAACCTCACGGCAACAGCAGCAAATCCAGCAGCAGCAACACCAGACGCTCAAGACGGCGCAGCTGCCATCAATGGAGTCACCGTCGCCGCCATCGTTGACGCCGCATGTGTCGTACATCTCCGGCGACGCCGCCGTGCTGGATCTCTTAGGTGAGGGAAGGGGGAACGGGGACGGGTAAGGGGGATGAAGTCGGGGTTACGGATCTTACCAAGTTACAAATTACAATTCCGCACACAAGTGCGGGTGTGTCCGTAAAAGCCGGGGGGGCCATGGACGTTGTATTGGTATTGATGCGGGTACGCGGGAGGTCATCTTCATTCTCCCTCGTCCGCTTCAGGGCGAAGCGCCTCAGCGCGACGTGCCTGGCCTCCCAGATTTCCGAGAGGTACCTGGCCAATGCCAGTGGTGGCGCCTCAGTCATAGTGGTGCGCATGCTGCGCCCCGTAAGGACTAGGTCACCATCATACTTAGTCCGTATGCTCTTGTAAGCGGGGCATTCTTCGAAAACATGCAACTCATTTTCAACCGCTCCACAGTCACAAAGCCTGCAGGTACGCGCGGTGCGCTCACGCCCATTAGGCCTATTAACCTCTAACTCCCAACAGCCTAACCGAAAATAACGAAAATAACGGATCTTACCGACTGCCGCGACGGTCAGGGTGTTGTGTTGGACAGGAGAGATCGGCATGTAGGCACGGGTAGGCAAGCGGGTTTTTATAAATCAAATTATTATTATTAATAATTCAAATTAAAAACGCACATGCGTTACCTTTCAGGACCCCGTCCAAATGTCGAATGTCAATTGTACTGCATTCGTGCACCACAAAAAACTGTCAAGCCTCGCTTCCGTTAGCGCTGCCGTCACCCGCCGCCACCGCCACCGCCACCGTCACGCGGTGATTTCTATGTTTTTGACGGCGACGGTGACGGTGACGTGACAACCCCACGGTGATGCCTGTGTGGTGTAGATCTCGGCGTGGGATCCTCGACCATTTCAGGGCCTCAAATTATAACAGCAGCGGCAGCAGCGGCAGCAGCAGCAGCCCCATGTACGGCAACCGGATTAGACACTGCCGGCGGCGCTGCAAGACTAACTGACATCAATAAACCCAAGTTCGAATCCGACGACAATCAAAAAGCGGCTGCTACAGCCTCCGCCGCCGCCGCTGAAGCAGCTACAGCCGCCGGAGCGCCGCTAGCGACGTCATCCTCGTCGGGTGGGCGCCTGGCGGCGGCAGCGGCGGCGGCGGAGGAGGCCTTGACGGCGGCGGAGGCGCCCGCGGACGTTGCAGCCTCAACGACAACAACAGCACCAGCATTAAATTCAACGACGGTTGAGCAGAGTGCGACGGCGTTGCCGCGGCTGTGGCAGCGGCAGGAGGTGATCGACCCCGCCTACCACACCGCCCTGGAGGGCGTGTTGACGGGGGTGTGTGACGCACTGCCGCGTATGATCCCCAATTTGAACCTGAAGAGCCGGCTGGAGGCGCTGCCGCTCCTGGTGGTGAGTTGGCTGCATGCATACATACATACATACATGTTCCCAGGGCAGTGTCAGGCCCGGTCAGATACTTGTAAAAAAACCCACCTGAGCTGTGTAAAATATTTTTGCGCCAGCAAAACGTCGCGATCGCTGCTCCCGGCTCCTTTACCTACCCCCGTACTCCCCACCAAATGTGTTCAATCTGACTCAATTTGCGACGTGCTTTCAGGGTTTGAGAATTTCATTTGATCAGCGTTGCATTGTAGTGTTGGACGTCGGCAGTTAATTCTTTGCGATATGCGCTTTTGGCTCGCGTGCTGTCATACCTACCGGNGGGGTTCTTCTTCCCCCTTCATCCTCATCCTGGACCTTTGACCCACTCACCCCGCTCGCCCCCCTTCAGTCCGCGGCCAAGACTCATTCTGACTGGTCGGTACAGAGGCAGCTACTGGGGGCGGTGTTCAATCTGGGGGCGGGGCCCGACCCCCAACAGCGGCAGGTGGGGGGCAGTTGGAGGTGGAGGTGGGCTGGGGGGGAATGGGGGGGCTGGGGGGATCGGGATCGGGGGGGAGGTGGAGTTGGAGTTGGACCTCTGTAACCCCGCTGGGTGTGATGATCCCCACCACCTTGTGTGCTTGAGATGGCGGTGGTGGTGGTGGTGGTGGTGAGGGGGTTCACCTGTTTGTAAACCCTAGTTTGCGAGAGAGCGCGGGTAAACATTGCTTATCTATCCATGGCGCTTGTCTGTCTGTCTGTCTGTCTGTCTGTCTGCCTATGTATCTGTCGGTCTTTTTTTTCTGTTTCATCATCCTACCATATATTTTTATCTTTCCCTTTTTGGCCAACAAACAGCAGTTTTGATTTCTTGTATTTTTCCCGTCTGGAGGTTGCGACAACTGCTTGTTAGCCCCCCGCACACTCTACTCTTCCCCCCCTGCTACATGACTGCCCGCCGTACACCCCCAGGCCATCATAGACTCCTCCCTGGAGCTGTGTCAGGTGTTCGGAACGAGCTGGGCGGCATCGGAGCTGCTGCAATTGTGTGTCAAACAGGTACGTGGTGTGTCTGTCTGTCTGTCTGTCTGTCTGTCTGTCTGTCTGTCTGTCTGTCTGTCTGTCTGTCTGTCTGTCTGTCTGTCTATGTAAATATGTGCGTACATGTATGTATGTTTGTTCGTTCGTTTGTTTGTTTGTTTGTTTGTTTGTTTGTTTGTTTGTTTGTTTGTTTGTTTGTTTGTTTGTTTGTTTGTTTGTTTGTTTGTTAATAAACATGGGAGGGCAAACGACAGGCTTTGCCACATGGAGGAGGGTGTGTATGCTTCTGCGCGCGTGTGGGTGTGGCCGTTGGAGCCGTGGGTGGGGGAAGTTGCGCCTGTGTGCCTGTGCGCGTTTTGGTTTTTGCGAAACAGGATCGGAAACAGAACCTGAATCTGCATGTGTGTCCGTACCAACTAAAGGGAATGAACAACTTGTGACTTATAATGGAAAGGTGCGGAGGCCTAGCTGTTCGTAATTGGATGGGATTCGTGATGTTATTGTCTACACGCTTGCATGGTTCACTTCCCCCCTACCCGCCGTCCCCTTCCCCCTTTCCCCACTTTTCCCCCCTCCCCTCAGGCCAGCAGTTCCTCGTGCGAGAGGCGCACCCTGGTAGCTGAGACCCTGGGGGAGGCGGTGGGGGCGGTGGACCCGGGCACTCAGGCGCATGTGCTGCTCACACAGCTGACGCAACTGGCCAAGGACCGAATGGAGCAGGTGACGCGGAGGGTTTTAGAATCGGTTTTACGGTGGGGTTTAGGAGGGGTTTAGGAGGAGGCTTGGGGCGGGAGAATGGAGGCCTGGACGGTCTGTTTTTGGGCGGGATGGGGAGAGGGGCCAGGTGAGGGAATAGCGGAGGAAGGGGGTGGGAGGGGGGGGGGAAGGGTTTGGGGCATTGGGGTATGGAGATGGGAAGGTGGGGTTGGAGGTTGCTTTCCGAAGAGGGGATGGAGGGGCTGCGCTCTTGGACTGTCCGCTGTTAATATCATATTAAATATAATAATATATTATATTACACATCATAAAAAGAGAGAGAGAGAGAGAGAGAGAGAGAGAGAGAGAGCGTTGAAGCCTGTCCATTTTAAACATAAATTTTGTAAAACCCGTTTACGAAACTGTTTAAAAAAACCCAAAATTAAACTAAAAAACCAAAAATTAAATTAAAAAACCAAAATTCGACAGGTTCGGGAGGCCGCCTGCCACAGCTTGGCCCGGCTGGTGCCACGTCTGCCGTTCACCCGGTCGTACTACACCACCTTAGAAGGCCTGCTGCTGCCGCTAGCTACCGACGGCTCGGAGACCGTACATGCCGCGGCCCTGTCGTACCTGGTTCCGGCGCTGCTGACGTGGCAGCCGCAGGATACGGAGTCCGTACTGGTATCGTCGTGCTTGGCACGGGTGGTTTCGGAGTTGAGCCAACAAGTTCGTAATATTGAGCAGTATCAGCAGCACTTCTTCCAGCAGCAATATCAACAGCTTGCAAAGACGGCGCCGTCGCCGCCGCCGCCGCCGCCTGATGCCGCGGCCGCTAGCAACTTTTCTGGAGCGTTCCTTCGCTACAGCCTCACAGCGCCTTCGAGTCCGGCACCGCCGACGGCGGCAGCAGCAGCGGCGGTGGGGGCTCCGCAACAGCAGGTGCCGGAAGGCCAAGCTGCCGGCGGCGGCGGCGCCGCCGCCGCCCGGGGCAGCAGCAATCCTAACCTTGCCGACATGGCGGCGGCGGTCCTGCCGCCGCCATCACCGTCGCCCGCCATGGCGCCTCCGCCGTCGCCGTCGCCGCTGCCGCCGCCTCAGTGGGTCAGTTTCGGCCGACGGCATTTCCCCAGCGCCAGTCATCTACTGCTGTATCAGCTTCTGGCGCTGTACGGCAGCCTCGCGCCGGCGTTACGGCACGCGGCGGTAAGTTAACCAGCCCATCGTCTGCCTGTTTGTATGTCCACCCACCTCACCATCTACCTATCGATATGTCTGCTTGTTTATCTGTTTGTCTGTTTATTTGTCTGCATGTCTGTCATGTCTTTCAGTCTGTTTGTCTGCCTGTATGTCAACCTTGATGTTTTGTGTCGGTAGTGTGTTGTCTTGTGTGATCCAGATTCGGGGCATTGGAACTGAGGGGATTGGTTGGTCGGGTCGGGTGGTGAAGCGGCCCAGGAGCCGCGGCATCATATTTAGAATCTGCAGAGTGTGGGGGACGCGGGAATCGAACTCGTGTTCCTTACTTGCTTTTTCCCATCCCCGGTGCCCCGCGAACTGCTTTCCCCCTCTGTACGGATAAACCCTCCCTCCCTGGCCCCGGCGTCTACCCTCCAAACCCATTACGCAGCTCCGAGCTCGCCCCGCTTGGGCGCAACCCGCTGGATCTGAATCGGAATTCCAATCCGGATCCAAAGCGGGATCCAAAGCGGGATCTGGCGACGCTCATGATGCCGCCGCCGCCATCGCGACCGGCACCCGCCGGCCCACCCGCGGTGGCAGCTTTGGCGCCTCCGCCGGGTCAGCCGCCGCTGCAGCAGGCGGCGGCGGCGCTGCCGCCGCAGCAGTCACCAGGGATATCTCCGAGCTGCTGCCGTCGACCCACCGCCGTACAAACTCTCAACCGGTGTTTGGTGGCTTTGGGCCGGCGGCAGCGGCGGCCGCTGGCGGCGGCGGCGGCGCCGCCGCCGCTGCATCCAGCGGCGGCCAGACAGGCCCTTTGGTTGGCCTTCACTCGCTCCAGAATTTCGACCTAATACCGTTGCAACAAATGCTGATTTCGAAAAGCACGTCTAGCGGCGTATTAACGAATGGCGACGCGACGCACGAGGCCGTCACTGCTGGCGGCGGCGGCAGCGGCGGCGGCGGATCGTCTTTGACGCCGGAGCCGCTGGCGGCGGCGGAGGAAGGGCCGATGGACGTACATTCGCATTGGGCCAAGGTGGAGGAGGGCGGGGATGCGACCGCGGCGGCGGCGAACGAGGCTGGCTGCGCGGAAGCGGATCAGGAACGTGCCGAGGAAGATGCCTCCTTTGCGCTGTGGGCAACCCATGGGTCACACAGCAGCTGGAAGACGTTGGAATGGCTGGTGCAGGTGGGTAGGTGGGTTGTGTGATGTAAGGATGTCCTCTGCGTCCTTTTTGCGGCTCCCGGGGGGTAGAGACAGAAGTCCGATTTGGCTTTTGAACTTTTGAATTTGAATTTAGGCGGGAGGATGATTTTGAATGGATTGGCGCGCACAGAGCTTCCCGTACACAGCGGATGGTCCCTAAGGACCGGCAATTTGGCGCCTCATTTATCCTCAATGAATCACCATCCTATATATATATAACTAGCTTAGGGCTCCTCCTCTGAGGTAATTCTGCTAGCGGTGAGTGCCCTTGAAGGTGCTGCCTTCTCAACCCCTAATCCCCAGCCTGCCTCTGCCTGCACCTGCCCGCCCCAGCCTGCCTGCAACATGTCCTTTAAAAACCGTCATGCAACAAACCCCAACTACTTTTCAACCATCTCCCCTCCAATTATTTGACATCTCCTAGCTCCCTTCCTCCCTCCCTTCCCCTCCCGCTGGGGGTTCTGTCTACCTCTCGTATTTACTTCACTCGTCTGTGGTCCACCTAAACCCCCCCGTATTTGCTTCCCTACGCTCCATGGACTTAGTCGCAATCCTCCCCATTCCCGTCCTTCTATAACCGTCCTCCGCCAGCATGTGGTTCCGGAGCTGATCCGCCTGGTGTGCTGCGTGGGCCCTATGTTTCCCGAGGCGCTGGATGTACGGCGGCAGGCGGCCGTTGCCGTAGCGGCGACTTGCGGCGCGTTTGGTGGGTGTGGGTGGGCGGGTGGGTGGCTGGCTGGCTGGCTCTTATGTGGTTGTGTGGTGGTGGCTTGTGAGAGGTAGGGCTGTGAGGGACTACGGCCACACGACTGTGGGTTTTAGGCAGGAAGTCATCTAAGGGATGTTGGAACGTGTCGTGTATGGGGGAGGGCCACCTCTAAGCGCTTTTGCTTCCGCTGCCTATTTAGGCACACAGTACTGGAGTGGGCTCTCACGCGTGTGGGGGACCCAAAGGGGGCCCCTGATAGCTTTATGGTGAATGGGTGGTGGTGGTGGTGATGTGGGGGGTAGGTGGGAGGTGTGGGAAATGGAGGGCGTGGGGATGGGTATTCACATTTTGACATTCCTTCACCTGGTGGTTTGTTTGGTTTCGGGGCCACAGGTATTCCATTCACTCAGGCGGTGATGGAGCCCGTGTTCCTCGTTGCGGCGGGAACTGGTGCTCAACTAACTCCAGGGGGGTTGAACTCGACTGCCGCCGGGGCTGGCGGCGGCGGCGGCGGCAGCGGCGCCGTCGCTGCTGCAGCCGGCGTTATCGTGCCTGACTTCGACGCGCCGCTGGCAGTACGGGACGTCTGTGCCGCCGTACAGCCGCGGACGGCGGGGGCACTGCGGATGGCAAGGTGGAGTACGGGGTTCGTGGTGTGGCGGTGGTTGGTTGGTGGGTTCGTTGGTGGTTGGTTGTTTGGGATGGGGATGGTGATAGTGATGGCGGGAGGGTTGTTTTTTGTCGGTCTGCTAGCTGTTTCTTACCTGAAAGGTTTCGTCATTTTTTACTTGTCATTTAATTTTGAACTTCGTAGAGTCCTGCCCTACATTCACCATTTTATAATCATTCATCATATTTATGTAACCGACGGATCCCCCAATTTATGTTTTGCCCAATCGCAGGCAGTGTGTGCTGCCGGTGCTACTGGTTTCGGTGCTACCAGCCTCCCGACGGTTGGCGCCGTACCTGCTACAACTGACGAGCTCATCTCACGAGTTGCGGCAGCGCTGGCTGATGGAGGCGCTTTCGGTAGGTCCGGTTGACTGTTGGTGGTTAGAGAGTGGTCGCTAGTGTTTGTTTGGGTGGTTGAAAATTTGCATCACCCAGGTCGTTGTGTAAGGTATTATGTTTCGGGCTTTTTGGACTCCTGGACGCAGTCACACTACCGGCGCGCAAGTCAGTTCCGAAACGCCCATCTTCCCCCCTCTCCACATGCCCCTCCACATGCCCCTCCACACACCCCCTCCACATCCGTGCCCGCACCCTGCTTGGCCGAGTGTGTTGTCCGCTCTCCACCTCGCCTCTCCGCCTCTCCGCCTGTCCTCCACCGCAGGACTACACACAGGCGATCACCTTCGCTTGCAGCCAGCGGCCCGATCTAGTGCCCCAGGTGCTCTCTGTATTTGAGGATCTGTTGTCTGGATCTGGATCTCTGTCTGGTTCTGGATCAAGTTCCGCTGCGGCTCCGAGTCAGCAGCAGGTAAATACGACAGGCCGACAGGGTCACGCAGGTGGTGGCAGCGGCGGAAGCGGCGGTCCCGCCAGTACCCACGTGGGTTTGTGCTGTACGGCACTGGCCCGTGCCCTTGTTCCGTTGGCGTCCCTGGAGTTGGCCAGCCGACGGCTACTGCCGGGCCTTATGGCCCTGATGTCGTACGGCGAGCCTGAGCTGCAGCGCGCGTGCGTGGGAGTACTGGCAGAGCTGGGGCAGCGCTTCCGGGACCAGGGGCCGCGGGTTTCGGAACAGGTGTTGGCGGTGTACGATAGCTTGTTGGAGCAAAGTGGCCACACCGTACAGCTAGAGGTGCTGGCGGCGGGAACCGCTCTGGCGGCGGCGGCAGCGCCATCGGCGGCTGTGGCGGCGGCGGCGGCGGCGCAGGTCGAATGGCTGCTGACGGCGGTGCAGGTTGTGGCGGCGCGCCTTGCGGGGCCCGCCGGCGGCGCTGCTGGCGGGACAGCCTCCCTGGAGCAGCAACGGGCAGTGGCGGCACAGCTCTTGACCTCTCTACGTGCCGTCGCGCCGCATGATTTGCGGCTGCCGCGCCTTCAGGTGACTATGATGTGACTCCGGCATTAAAACCTTGCTGTATGCCGTACTGCATGTCGTACTGTATGCCGTACTGTATGGCATTGTCTTCGCCATGTATACTGCGCTAACAAGCGCCGCTCTGCGACCCGCGTTACCTCCAGTGAGTCGTGTTTAGGATTAGGTGCATTTACTTTACTTTGTGGCTCCTGAACGATTGAGCGGTTCTTAGGTTTTAAAGAAAAACATCCTCCACGCCCCTCTAAACAATCCGGTCCGACTACTCCAGGCCAATCTAAGCGGTGCCTTGGACGCTATGCAGCGGTGTAAGGCCCTTCTAACAGACCCACAGCAGCAGGCAGCGCTGGCGGCTCTGCTCAAGGAACGACCCGTGGGTCCGTCTACCGCCGGCGCGTCCGTCTCCTCAACGTCCACCTCCACAGCCAGCACTTCCGTAGCCACAGCCGCTGCCGTCGGCAACAGCACCGCAATGCAGCAGCATCGACCTTTTACGACGGTGCCGCCGCCACTGCACTCGCCATACCCGTCGCCTTCGGCGCCATCTAGCTCGGGGCTGTTGCATCAGCCGGCGGCGGCAGCTGGCGGCGGCGTGGGCAGCCTGCCCATGCATTATCCGTCCATGTCGCCCTCTTGCGCCGCCTCGTCGCAAGTGGCCCTGGGTGGCGCTGACGGCGCCGGCGGCGGCGCCGGCGGGCAGCTTCGAAGCCGCTTCGATGCATTCCGACAGCGGCTGATGAAGCGTCGGGACGACGCGGGCTTAAATAGCGGGATGTCGTCGTCTTCGTCTGCAGCGGGTGCAGGGGCAACTGGAACCGGCAAGCCGAAAGAAAGCTTTTTCAGCGATGATGAGGGAGAGTAGATGTGGAGGAAGGATGAGGTTGCAAGCAAACAGCTCAATCGTTGTGCAGCTAGCAGCTTTTGTAAGCGTTCAGGAGAATATATAGGGCGGTTGATACATAGCAAATAAACAGGCTAACAGACAGACAGACAGTCAGAGGCAGACTGAGAGAGAGACAGACAGACAGACACACAAAGCATCACAAGCGGTTGCAGGTCGCCTCCGCTGGTCGCCGAACGAACGGAATGCCATTACCCTTTAAGGCGCCTTGTACGGCAGCGTGGATGGACTGAGAGTGAACGAGCGAGCGAGAGAGAGAGAGAGGTTGCTATGTGTCATACGGCTCCCGTGTCCACCGTCGAGAGCTCCTCTTTCCTCCTCCCTTCTCCTGCCGTTTGATGTCCAAATCCACAGAGCAAATCCAAATGCACCGCAACATCGACAGTACGCACGCATAAAGCATGTTACAGGGCATGCCGCATCAATTCGATTTTGTCCTCAATGGCATCATTTTGCTCTTCCGACATGAAATGAAAGGAATTCCGTCAGCAGAATCCACCACCTTTTGCTCTGCACGTGTCAAATTTGCATCCTTGTTTGTGTAGTCATGGCCCAAATGTTATGTTACAACGGCTAACGACCGCGGCCCTAAGGAAGCCAGACTCCGAGAGAAAGGATGAGGCGCGGCAATAAACAAACAATGCAAGTTACTAGTGAATTTATCTCGAGGTCGTTATAGAAGCTTATGACGAGGAGACGGGTTGTGGGATTCCCCAGGCGCGTTGGTTGTTACAGTTGCTTCAGTTAACTCCTCAAGGCATTTCATGGATTGGGCGAAGCAGGCAGGTTTTGAAGGTGTGAGGCAGCACGAAGAGGATGTTTCTCTGTCGCTTGGAGGCGATTTTTTGTTGGCGTACGTAGCTAAATGGATTGGTTGGAGCCAGACTTGCAGGCATTGCGTTTCGTTTTGGTTGGTCGTTCGCAGGGTAAACCACGTTACTCGGTGGCTGGCGCAGAGAAGAGTGCTTGGATGGGGGGGAGAAGGGCTTTTGGAAATGGTACTTGGATTTGGAAAGACGGCCGTACCGTACCGTATGTCGTGTAAATGGAAATTCAAATGGAGTGGGTTTCCTTGCCGCCCGTACGTGGCCCATAGCCACACAGGTAGGCTATGTCGGCGTGTGTGCCATGACTTGGTAAACTGTGGGTTTTCCTTACCTGCGAGGCAGTAGCGCCAGGGCAGTAGCGCCAGTGACGCCAGCGCCACACACACATGGGGCTCAACGTCTCGGCGGTCGTCGGCAATTCACGTGGTTAGGTAGCCAGGGCCAACATCGTTCATCAAACATCTGCTGCTGCGTTGTACGTCGTAATGCTTTTAAATCGAGCAGCTGTAATCCTGATGACTGTTTTTCTTGTCGATGCTGGAAATGGGTGTTGATGATCCACACATACTAGAGAAGAGGGGACGGGTATATGATTAGGCCCAGAGCTCTGGTTTGGCCAGGGGGGGGGTATCCACCTGAACACTTTTCGGTTCAGGAAGTGCACTGACCCGCAGCTGTGCCGAAACCTTTATTTTCATGTACAGGAGAAATTTCAGCTACCCAAGCATTAGCATCATAGGTACGAACGCAAAGTAAATGCTAAATCCCACCACAACAGGAAATGGCGTCACCGTTGTCGGTTACATTTTTGGAGACGATGTTCTATGGAGTTCATGTAATAATATGTGAAAATTGTTTATTTCATTACATATGTGTGATAGTGAGAAATGCATGACACTACCGATAAAGACGTACAAACCCGAGGAGGCAGAGGGACAAGCCAGCAAAATGCTAAGGGACAAACATAAATGACTTTACATGTATACTTGGATAGATCGAATAACGGCGGTGCAGTGGTTTAGAGCTTGGGACCTGCTGCCGGAGTGCAAGCCAACAAGGCCAAGCGAAGAAGGACTAGAGACGAGGGAGGAGTTACTCTTGGGCAAACATGTCATGCAGGAAGCTGCTGGAAATATATTTGGCAACAGCAAGGAGTGTGGCCATATATCTTCAACAGACTATTTTATCGTGCAAACGACACAACGAAGCGTCAACTGACAAAAAAGCAGCCGAGCCATATGAAAAATAAAGATTTCAAATAAGTTAAAAACATCTTCTCTCAATGCTACCAATGCTACTTATCACTTGACGGTTAGAGCTAGAGAGTTTGAAGCTAGAGAGACTCGCTCGCAACTTTGGAGTTCGCGACTCTATTGCGAGAATTGAATAACGATTGAACTCTATTGACACATCATTATCTAGTGCCTCATTAGATTTGTGCTTAAAAGAGCTATTTTCACAAGTCCTTACAGTCCCTGGTTTAGGCAGCGTGGATCTTCGTTGCGTAAACATTCTCACACGGCTCATCAGACGACACCTTGCCAGGATTAAGTAAGCTGCCTCCTTTATAAGCGCCGTAATAAGCCGCATCGCGTCCAGACTGCTGTACGATCGTCATCATAAACATCCGCAGCATGCATCCGCCGCCGCTCAAGCAGTCGCCCTCTCATCAGAGAATATATCGGCAGCGGCCGCATACATATCCAGATAGATATTTTCCGGTATCGAGGGAAATATTTTCCGGTAACGCACATTTCCTATATCACCAACTCCGATTGCACGGCACCCGGCTCCCTTCCCGCTTTCAGGTCGGCATCAGTAGTACCGCGCCACGTTATAAGGACACCCACCAGCCTACCCTCCTACCTTTCCCGACATCATTTCCAGGACCTGCACCAATACTCTCACCACCGCCCACCACCGCCTCTTCCTCCCCTGCCTCCACTTGCCCTTCTCGTGCGCCAGGATCGCCGTCGCCGTCTCCGCAACCCTGCTGCGGACATACATACAGCTGGCCAGCAGATAAGCAACAATAAATTTAGCGACCCTGAACCGCCCTCCAGCTTCCTTCCCCCCTTTTCCGGTGTTTTGCTCATGCAACCTGCCCCATGGAGCGCATCACCCTACCCATCCTTCACAAACACTTTTCCCCCCCCGGTGCCGAGTAATGGCAGCACGACGACCGACATGAAAAAGAAACTCCTGTCATCGCTGCCAGGAGGCGTCATAGGAACAATCTTCATTGCGCTTGGCGCCTTGGCAGCGGCAGGTACGTGTTATTATTATACTGCTTTCATCACGTATATGGTTACTGGGCTTTTCTCGCTCTACCCGTCTCCCAGGCAGACTGCAAAACCCAACCCTTCTAATCAATGCTGGCCCTGCATGCATGTGCCTTTTACCTCCGTTCCTGCTGTGAGCTGACAGCGTGTGCCTGTGTTATGGTACGGCGTGCTTGTTGCCGGAGGCGGTACGACCCGTACTCCGTGCCGCCGGTCGTCATATCGCCAGCGCTGGCTCCGGACATTTTGATGCCGCCCGGTTATATGATGTCGAACCCCATCATGCAGCAAGGCCCTTCGCAACGATACTATGCACCAGGAGGTGATGACGTCATCTTATTGGGCGGCGGTTCACCGGTTCGGATGACGCCCAGTTTCCAGCAGATGGGAGGACCCATGGGTCGGCCCGCCTCTTTCGACGTGATGGGGGGTTCCGGTCGCCCGTTCTACGGTTATGATATGGCCGGCGGGTCAGGTCGAATAGGTCCCAATCTTTATGCCCTTGAAGCACTACGTAGATATGGGTAGTGGCTGGGTGATGCATGGCAGCTGTAGTAGCTGGCCGCTGAAAAGGCCTCTCGAGATGCTGGTGGTCGCGCTTCGCGCGTGTTTGTAGAGCCGTACTGTGTACCAGCTACTACAGCTGCCCTCTGTCCGCGCAAAGGCTGCTTATTAACTTATTTGTCATAATATCCACAGCCTGCCTGCCTGCCTCGCGATCGCTGCCTGCCTCGCGATCGCTGCCTGCCTCGCGATCGCTGCCCGCAATTAAGCGTTCCATGTAGTCAACTGCGCACCGCTGCACCATCGTCAAGTATGATTGTATAGTGACTAGCCCATTTGATGACCATAATTATTACACAGTTGCCCGGGTATGTAGCGCCGGGACCTTGCTTCCTACTTGCAAGTAAACTATAGCTATAACCGCGAGCACTGCTGTATGTGCGTGGGCGTAACACTCGTCCCCCGCCGGCGGCGGCCGGTCGTCCCAGCGACAGTTGCATATGTTGATAATAATTATAATTATTATTATTGATGGTACGGACATTGCATGTCCATAAACGAGCGGCGGATGGAATGCATGAGCGTTAATAAAAGCTGTTAGCGGTGGTGGAGATCGCTGTGGGTGCATGTATGGATGGCAGTAGCATATACATATGTATACAGACTATCTAGCTAACATGCAGCGAAAAAACGCAATATTGTACTTTGCGGACTGGCCGGTGCTGTTGTTCGGTGTTGTCATTCGTTCGCTACTAGCTACCTGTAGGAAAGCGCTGTTGCTGCCGAACTGCGGAACTGGGAAACTGCTGCTGTGGTGATGTCTAGTAGTAACTGGACAGCGCGCGGCCGCCGGCCGAATTAAACCTGCTGACGCATGGCCACCTTCCCGTTGCCTCTATTTGCTGTCTCTATCTCTGGTTCCAGGTTCATCATTCTTTCATGGTTGTCTTAGCCCTGCCTTGCTCAGTGGCTTTATTTCTTGTTTCTCGTCTTTTTGTCTGTTCCTAAAGCCGGGCTGCTGCGCTGCGAAGGATGCGGCGGCTTCAGTCTTCGCCAGCTGGGGAGGAGACAGGCGGGCCGCAGACGGGTGGTTTTGGCGTATGTGGTTGATTCGTCTCCCGGCTAGGGTTTGCCGATTTTCCCTATCCTTGATCGCTTATTATGCGCTCTTCCTCGATATCCTGCATCCGTGTATGTATGTCGTTACAGGGAGGTATATGTATGTATGTATGCCATCTTGAAAGCGGGCTTTTAATCAGCTGTACAATCATGTGTGTGTGTGTGTGTGTTACATGGTTGGGGGTGCGTGACCCCATACCTGTAAGACTACCCATACGAGCCGAAGGCCCAAGGGCAATACTACAACGCCTAAAAGCCACGGAGAAAAGGAAAAACACCGCACATCAGCCCAGACTAGCGTCCAAAGGGGGTAATTGAGTTTCGGTGAGCCCACATACGTTCCAACATCCTTGCCAGGCGTGCGGGTTCCCATTGCATGGCCTCCAACATACTCTGTTGATGATCGAATCCCTCTTCAGCACGAATATCATTATAGGCTGGGCATTCCAATAACACGTGTTTTTCATCCTCAATTCGGCTATTAGGACCACAACAGTGGCAAAACCGCTGCCCCCTGGGGACATGGTACTTGCCCCTTCGTGCTCTGTTCGCCTCCAAAGCCCAGCAACATAAACGAAACTGCATTAGCTTACGATGTGCTAAACGAGGAATGAAAACCTTAGCATGTGTTGGCCACATGACGGCTGCGGCTCCCGAAAAGGGCAGCCCCATCCAGTGCTTATACTTCGCCATTTGCACTCCCGGTTGCTTCCCATCTGATGGGTACTCCTCTGGCAAGACAGTCAGACGCGTATGGTCCCAGCCGCTCATCAAACGCTCTCTTAGTGCCGTTATTATCGCTCCTTCTGGTAGAGGTCTACTCAACAACCAGTCAACACGCTCCTTTACCCCCACGACTTCTTGCGGTATTCCGCTCCAAATGTTGCACTCCAAGAAGGAAAACAGTCGTAACATTGAGATTCCCCAACCCTCCCATTCCGGGTTGGTCAGGGCATCGGTTATCTCCTGCCGTAAAACTGCATGAGCAATGGACCCCACTTGCTTTTGAAGGCGGTTCCAGAAACGGAGAATCTGCTTCACCATGTAATATTGTAAGGGGAGTTCAGCCAGCTCCGCGTACAACAGCCTGTGGGATGGCCGTGCCGTCCCCACTACCTGCCTCATGAATAAAATCTGCAGCTGGACTGCACTATCCTTCAAACAGGCTTCGAACATGCCCTCCGCAAGGTTGGCTTTATCCCGCCGCCTTCCCGCCCTGTCCACGACCTCTGCCAGCGCAAAAGGGCCCCACGCCTGGCAGCCATACAACAGAATTGCTCGGACTTGGGTTGCAAAACACCGCATTCGCACATCGGGGGCAAACAGCTTCATTTTGTCCAGCTTTGCGCTTAAGGAAAACATAGCGGACCGACCTGTATCACACAACTGCTGACGGCACGCACTAAAAGGCCGTTCTGGCCCATATACCAAGCCCAGATAGCGAGCGCTATCTTTGGCAGGTACTACCTGGCCTGATAGCCGTAACTGTTGACATCTCCCGCTAAGTTCCGACTGCTGGGTGCCGTCACATGCAAAAACAAGCCTTTCACACTTTGAGACATTTGGTCGCACCCCAAAAGCTTCACAAAACAGGTCCACAAGATGTAGCAACTCAGACATTCGCTCTAGTGACGTCGCTAGCAGACTGACATCGTCTGCATACAACAGTATGGAGACGCGCTTGCTGTCCACAAGGGGTGCGTCACACTTACGTGCACCAGCTTCTACAAGGTCATGAGTATCAATCAGATCGGCTAGTGTCTCGATGAAGAGTCCAAACAACTCCGTAGATAAAGGACACCCTTGCTTCACTCCTTGCTTAGACTCAAACTCTCCCCCCACTTTCTCATTTACCTTCATCACCATGGACACCTTCTCGTACGCTTTTCTCAGAGCACCTAGCATGGGGCCGCTAATCCCCCTCTCCTGCAACCGAAGCCACATGTGCTCGCGAGGCACCCTATCAAAGGCCTTCTCAAAGTCAATCTGTACTATTATCAACGGCGGTTGTCCTGCGATCCGATGCCGCCTGACCAGGTGTTGCTTGACAAAGAGGTGGTGAGCAGTGCCAAAACCCCGCCTGAAACCCGCTTGGCATGGGTGCCGCAGGTCCAGTATTTCCCCAGCACGTACCAGGCGGTTAAGGATCACTGACGCATAGCATTTCGCAAGTGCTCCTCCAACTGCAATGCCCCGATAATCATGTACAATCATGTACAATCATGTATGTAATGAACGAGATGAACGAATGAAAAAGAAAGGAAGGTTTTGGGGGAAACGGAGGCGTACCTATGCATGGCATTAGTGCGGGCTACCCAGTAGTTGTAGTAGTGCACGGTACCTATCCCTTATTAGCACTAGTGGTGTGCAGGCTTAAGTTTCGTGTCATATATGCACGGTCTCTTTTTTCGCTCTGCACGTGATGTAAATTATCAGTCATTCCCAGCTCTCAGCCATGTCCCTACAAGACGTACCTGTATGTGCTTAGTTGTACACGGTCGCGTACTTGATGATGCGGGTCTGTCTGATGTTAGCGGGTAACAAACGGCGGTTTGCTTCTTGGTTTGTTGGTACGGCGGAGGACATGGAGGAAGCATCAGCCTATCGCTATGTGGATGCATGAGGTAGTGCACGCGCGAGCGGTGGGTGGTACGTATGTATGTATGTTGTTACAGGGTGCTTAACTTCGCCAGCGGCCCCTTTCCCGGGCAATCTCTGCTCTCCCCTGCTAGAGGGCCACCCTAATCCGTCACCCCATCCGACTTCAGAATGTATTCGTTGGGTTCGGCAACTCACCACCAGCATCCAACCAAATCTAGCGGATCAACGGCGCATCGACTTAGTTCCTGGTCAGCTCGCAAGTTGATTTTATCACGTCCTACATCGTCCATATGATGGGGGGCCACCTCCCATTTCACCACTCCTCAAATACCCGAGGAGCCGGCAGGCGGATTTGAACACGGGTCGACTGGGTCGACTGGGAGCAGAAGTCAGGCCTTAACCTCTGCCAGCCGCCTGCCTATATGTATGTATGTGTGATATGTGGGACAGGGGGCATATCTTCACCCGCGGCCATTACCCGGCGAAACCCTGTCTTCACCGAAATTTCGAGGCCCCTCTACCTACTTGCTATAGACAATGGATCGCTAAGGTTCGGCATCTACCACCGGCATCCGACCGATTCTGCTAGGCCAACGGCGACCCCTTTTTCCCGTGAGGCGTACTGGTTAAATCGATCCCCAGGTCACCACCGTCCTACGTAGTTATGGCGGAAATTTTCTTCGATCTATTCAGGTTTCGATCCCGGGATCTTTCGAGGGCAATGGTCCGTGCATTACCAGTAGTGCCTAACCTGAATGCGCGAGGCAGATTTATATTTCCCGCAGCTAGCGTATTTGATGCGTTTCCAACCTACCCCCACTGCTTTTGGATGTATGGCTGAGTCCATGGAAGGATGGAGGTGTTGAAAGGTATGACCATACCTGTTGTACACCGATAGCCCAGCCGGTGTACGACGACATATATAGCTACCATGTGTCGACGAGTTGCGTTAGCCTGTAGCAATACCATGACAGTGATTTAGACGGCGTTCGACAAGCGAACATCGAGGCGGTCCATTGGAACTCCTCGGGGTGTGGCAGTGGCGCCACGTTCTTTGCCAAGTTCGTCGCCGGGAGCGAGGACTGCACGAGTAGCTCGTCCAGGCAATTGCCTGCAATAGCAGCTGAGCCTTGGGGGCTACTCGTGTTTGGGCGGCCATAGGGCTTATGCAATCAGCTGAAGCACCGTGCAAAAAGAAGCTATGGACAGAATACCAATTGGAAAAGTAGGATACGAAGAAAGGAGTTGATTCCGCGGGTGCTTAGGCGGCAAGCAAGCAACAGGTCGCCATCGAGTAAGCAAGCAAGCAAAGTATATATATCTCAACGTGCATTCGCGGGGGAACTCTTAATGGCTAGGCCACATATATGTTATTTGCCCCGTCGGGTATGCACGGTCGTCGTGCATGTCTCTGCAAGCTATGTCAGCGGAAGAAAGGAGCTTCTTGGATCGGTCCAAAAAAGGTTATTACATATTCGAGGTTGGATTTACGTAAGGCTTCATGCAACCTGCACAGCATTAACGAACGGTTTATTTGATCATCAGAAGCTTCTTGGAGCAGTCAACGGAAGGTGACTGTACGTGCATGCTCGGTGTACAATAATACATCATAGTGCTCAGAAACAGCAGCAGGATACCAGGATGCCAGCTGGCCACGTACGCTATCCAGAAACTGCTGCTGCTGCTGTGGCACTACGGAGCAATACTCGCATTACCGTTATATGTATACATTGCTTGGGGAGTAAAAACACATTTTCTGTTTTCAGTTCTCCTGCATAGACTACGATTAACACATCCTATAGAAATTATGGTCGTCAGCAGCAGCACTGCTAATAATCATCACTGCCACCGCCGCCTCAGCCACCACATGTACCTAGGCCTAGGAAAACCACCAGCGGCCAAGCATGGTTACCCATCAGCCTCATCATCACGACGACAGGTCTTGCAGCGGTTGCCGCCGCTGCTGCTGCTGTTGCTGCTGGGCATCCTGCAGGCTCTCCTGTTAGCCATGATCGTCCGGGGTCCCTTCCCCGCGGTCGCTGCCGCGGATTTCACTGTGACATGGACCAGGGTGGCGGAGTTGCCGTACGCAGTCGGGGAGACCTCCGCAGGCATTCTAAAGGTCCGTTGCTGCCGCTCCTCCTCCATTCCCCCCAACCCCCCATCCTGCCGGTTTCCACACAGCTAGCTGTTGCTCTAAGGGCCGCGAAAGTGGTCTCATTAGCTCAAAGGGGTCTTATTAATAGATAATAATACATTTCACGTGTCAACATCTGACGGAAGGCCCCGGCGGCATGTACGACATATACACCTCGCCCGCTAGCTAGCTAGGCTTTCGTTATATGTATATGTATATATGATGACCATGGTGCCGCACATGATGTTCTATAATGCATTGTATGTTCGTGTATGTGTGCGTGTATGTGTGCGTGTTATGTGTGCGTGTATGTATGTGTGCGTGTATGTGTGCGGGTTATGTGTGCGGGTTAGCAGAACTTCTACCGGGGAAAGCCGTAGTAAAATGGTACCGCGGAAAATGGTACGTAGTAGCGCTACTGGCCACGAAAAGGCATTTCATTATTCTGGAAGCACGCTGTAGCTTGTATATGTGTATTGATTGCCGTATTGATATGCTGTACTGTAAGACGACAAGTACTGCACGCTTGCCTCGCCCGTTCGCTCGTTTCTTGTTTCTTGGGATGGCAGGCGTCAGTAAAAGTTTTGAAAACCTTTAGGTGGCATCTAATAGATAGGTAGGGACCATCCCTATCTAATATGCGAGGGTGCCCCCTACAGGGGATCAAAAACTTTACTGAGGGGTTTTTTGATTGTGTCGTGGAAGGCCGCGCGAAGAGCCCCGCCCGCCGCGGCTGAGAAATTGCAGGCCCCCTGCCACTGCGGCAACACATCATGATCACTTAGTTTTGAGTTCTTCCAACTTTGCTGACATCAAACTGTAATTACTCGTAATGCCTGCCTGCAGAACGCCAAGGCTGAGCCTTTGTTGGTGGTCGTGGGTTTCAACCCCAAGGACTTGAGCGCATCTAGAGCTACCATGGTATTAGACATTAACGCAAACAAGTGGTCCGTGTGAGTAATAATAATTATAATAATAAAATAATAAAAAAATAATAATGAGAAAATGCTACGTCTACTGCGTGCTTAATATGTATCCTACGTGCGCATAGGCCTAGGCCGTGTGTGTGTGTGGTTGTTACAGTGGGCTCCAGACTCCCGAAGAGTAGAGCCATCGGGCCAGCTGGCCGTGCACTGCAGTAGAGACTAATATACCAAAAGATTATCATCTCAGATAATTAACCTCTCATCGGTAACCGCTCTCGCGAACAAATCAATTTGCCAGATATAATCCTCAAAAAGGGGTGATGTGCGCCAACGGATTCCCAACCTTTTCGTGGAATTCCTAAAGCTGCGAAACCCTGAATGCGGCCCCAAAAATCAACAATAACTCGACAAATTGCTTCTTCCGTAAGGGAAGGACCAGGTAACAGTGCCGGGTTGGTTTTCATGTTTGCAGCCATATAACGTCTCCCATGCTCCATGGCTGACACCGCAGCAAGAGCCACAACATCCCAAACACATTGTTGCACTGATTGTGGGGCTTGGATAAGCCAAAGTTGCTCCCTTGAGACTGGCAATCCTATTGAAAGAGTAAGTTGGTCTGCTATTGCCTGTGCCACCGGACAGGCCCAGAAATGATGATAGCGAGGGGATACACCTCCCACTGAACCTATTGGATAACCTCCACAACCACATATCGTTGGGCGCGACATCCTAAGATGGGAATTTCCTAACATAGGCACCCCATCAACCGCAAGACGCCACCAAATCTCTTTTTGTTCATTTTCCCACCGTAAATGAAACCATAAACGATGGAATGTCCGTGCAAAAAGAAAAATAGCTTCATCCAATATCTCAGAAGAACCCGTCGCCTCTTTGATGAAAAGGGTATGGGCCACACGGCGAGCCATCGAAAAAGGTGAAAGTTGCATATTAGTCGCTATTTTAACGGATAATTGTTGGAATCGGATTGGAGGCCCTACACCCCATCTCCAACCAAGCCTCGACACTAGGGTTTGAGTAACCGACTCAATAGGGGGCACCATCGCTTCCCTAGATTCTACACTCAGCGGCAACAAAAGACTAGCCGCCTGTCTCCAATTCGCTGGAATATCATCTAGAAGAGCGGCAATAGCATCCATACATTCCTGCCATTTACGATAGGTGCACAGGGATTTAGCTAGTGGGGTTTGCGGTTGGAGGTATTTATCCACTATTTGATGCCAAGCCTTGCGTATTGCTAGGCCTGCTTGGTCCGTTGCATTCATAACTCCATCCAAGGCCTCTCGCGCGCAAAGAACATCTCCCAACGTATGCAATGCTTTACAGCCCAGGAGGGCTTGATGACGAAATTCTAGTCCCGGGCGGATGTTATCTAACTGGACATTCAATTTTTTTTCTGGAAGAACAGGGTTTCCCCACAATGGCAAATTCCAACACCACGCATTAGGAACTAACGGGTGGTCATCAACATCTTCCACTGGGGGAAGGTATGCCAACGCTGTCACAATGCGCTGAACATCTGGCGGTAAAACGATTAATCCAAACCAAGGCACTCCCACCTGGGACGTAAAAATACACATAGGATTATATTTGGGGTAAAGGCTATGTAGGAAAGAGTGCATGACCATCACCCAAGGCGGACGCACTAAG